AACACCATCTGCTTCTCATCTCCGCGGAAAAGTTTCCCAGCGAAGTCGCGCGACAGCGCGCCGGCCCGAACAAACGTGCGGGTGTATTCGCGACATTGCGAATCTGCAACGCGTCTCGGTTCGTGGCGTTTTGACGATCGCTCAAAATCCTCCATAAGAATTCATAAACATATACACGCAAAAAAAATTTCAGTTAGTGATTTCAGTTAGTGAACCAAATAGAAACCAACTGAAAATTAGGTGAAGATTATCAGAACTGATATCTCTGTTATGAAAACTAATATTTCTGTTGTCGCAACCGTAAATATTCGTCTGAAGATTCAACGATATTAAAACTCGGTTGAGATAACTGAAAACAATTGACTATACAGAAGTCTCATAAAGGAATTTTTCTATTCCTACAGCCGAGTTTTCGTCTGATCCCTGAGCAACCGAAAATTCAGTCAAAGATGGTCAATAGCTTAATAAAAGATAACTTAATAAAAAAAAGAAGAATCCGCGAAATTATAAATCACGTGGCGAGATTTTAACCTTTCATATAATAAATTAATATGATTCGATACAAATTTGTATAAAGTGAAATTAATTAACCATAAATTTGAATTCGTATGAATAAAATTGGCAACATAAAAAATAGAATCTCCTTGGCCTCGTATGATTTAAGAGTTTCCAAGATTCTTAACGAGAGAGTGCAGCTGCGAGTTTTTTTTCACATCAGGATAAATCATCACGATCGATTATTCAGGGCGAGCGATTTCGCAGTCATTCACTTATCGGCTTTGTAATTTGTTCGGGCAGTCACGGAGCTGATAAAAACACTGAAGTGGGCATTTCGAATGATAAACGAGCGATCGACCGTGCTATCTTCCTGCGCTGAGCTGTCGCCTTGATAAACTTCACGGCGCGAATTTCTAGCTTACGCATTATGTTTCGTCGTGGACGCATTAGAAACAACTGCGACGTACAGAACCGCGGCTCGTTCTGCCGAAAGAAAGAGCAACGTTCTTAGATACATTCGATGAGTCACATCGGGATTGTTTATGTATGCGCTCTAATTACTGTAACCTTACTGGATTGTACTACCGTCTTGATAACGTCAGTGCGCTTCCGCGCTACGTTCTCGACGTGAAGAATCGCGCAACTTGGATAGAACGATAGCGCGATGCGCTCGTGTGCAAATGTCATGAAGGGAGAAACTTTTTAAGGGAGAAGAGCAAAGAAACGATTTTTGCAAGGCCGCCAAGTGCTTCACATATTTTCCGCAAATTCGCTCCTATACCGAGACACTGTCGAAGTAACTCCTTTTTCTCAAGCAGAAAAAGCCGTTTGCCACGCGCGTGGAAGTTAATTTCTCGCCGCGAGTACATTGCCTTATATAATCGGAAACGTCATTCGTGAAATTATTGACGCGACAGGTGACTTAATCGGCGACAACTTATTGGAAATGCGTATGAAAACACCGCTATCTAATACTCGGCGGTTGAAAGGACAGCCATAATTTTGCGGCGCGTTCGACATCGATAGAGAACGATAACAAATATGAAAAAAACACTCAAGAGATAAGGAGCCTCGTACACAGAAAAGTAGATCTCGATCCGGGTTGTCACGAGTGCGTTGTAAAACACTTGATAAAAGCTCGAGCTCACGAACAGGGAAATGGTAGCAAACTTTTCCGCCGAGGCGGTTGCCGAATCGCCAACTTCGCGCTTCTGCGGCCACGAGAACTGTCGCGATTTCGTAGCTGAGAGCTCTTTGGTTATATCTGGTGGCGTATAAATACGCCACAATATTCCGGCTTGGACTAAGGAAAAAAGAAAGAGAAACAAAAGTGCGGCGAAATTACTTGCGCGTGCGGAAACGATGCAGCGTATCGTCTCGTCCGGCACACAATATCATGTTTTGTCGCTGCCGCGGTGTCGCATTATCAATTTCCTCGCCCAGCGGCTCACAACCCACTTTCACTCGCACATTTCGCGACTACCTCGTCCGTGTCGCGTGCATTTTGTCGTTCGTATCCGCTGGAGTGTCATCGCCGAGCGAGGAATACACGTGGCTTTGTGCACATCGTGATAACTAGATCTTGATCGACAGATGTCTATTTCTCGCTCTATTTCCTGGTTGTATCATACGCGTTACTCTCGTGCTTTTCTTTCAACCGCTTAGCCCGCAATCGCTCTCGAAATCGAAAATTCGCAGTCAGTAGTTGAATATATTAGCGATATTATATCAGTGAATTGCTTCGCGAAACGTCAAGTCACTGTAAAAGCAAAAATACAATAGCGAGTATGCGCGACGGTAATGAAGTTCCATTCGAACTTTCATAACGTTTGTCGCGTCGTTGAAATATTTCACGCGGCGCGCTAGATAATTGCAACGAATAATGAGAGAATAATTGTCCGTAATTTTTTCTCGATTGTTGTCAATAAATTTTAAAATCATCCCTTTGTTATTTTTTCTCTCCAAATATGAAGGAAAATTGAAATTCCATGCACAGAGAGGAAGAGGAACGTTCCCAGAGGGAACGAGGAAGAGAAAGAGAGAGAGAGAAGGGAGTCCGTGAAACAGTTTTATGTTTGATGTGAATTTCCGTAGCTGTAACAAAATTTTGCGAGAAAAGGGAAATTGGATTACGCCCACAGAGCAATCGCTCTGTCGGTTCGCTATCGAATCGATTCGAATTCCTGCGTCGTCGCGGCAGCGCGAGATCGTTCGGGAACAGATCGACCACGTGGGACCTCGTTCGTCACAAGGATCACACCCTTCGTGAAAATGGGATATTTCGCGAAACCCGAACTTGGACGCAATCACTTTGCTCTTCAGTAGACACCGAGTCGAGCGAATCTGTCATTGTCGTTTACTGCAAACGCTAATGACACTTAAACGATTATAGTATTGACGGATATTGTTGCAGCTGTGATACATAGAATGCCGCTATTGCTACAGTATTCCCTTTATTACGTTAATGACATTCGCATCTCAGCCGTGCGACTTCGAAGCCGGCTCTCGCAATCTCGAGTCCGATTTGTCGATGACGAATCTAACGTGTTATTTAGGCACGCTTGCGCGATTATGTAATGTAATTTAAAAACTCCGACGATTACGTAACGTTATTTAAAAAGCGCTTGCAGTTACATAATGTCGTTTGACAAACGCTCGCGATTATTTCAACGCAAACGATATCAAATGTACTCGCGACGCGAAAATTGACGTGAAAGCTCGCACCCTTCGTGGACACTTGACGATCGTGCATCTCGACCTTGCACTTACCTTATTTTTCGGCGGCATCGCGGTGCAGAAGGGGACGAAGCGGCGATAGACGGCACTCGCTCAGCTGGAGGCGAATACACCCTCGCGCGCGTGCGACGATGACGAGCAAACGGGAGGAACGAGACGAAACGAGACGGACAGGGCGAGGTATGTTGAGGTGAGGTGAGGACCAGACGAACGAGCGCGGGAACGAGAAGGTGCGGAGCACCTTCCCTGTGACCCTGTGACCCGGCGGAGCACGTCGGGGACTCCCAGGCGTATCGGCGCGAAACGCGAGCGATCCGCGGCGAAATGAGCGGCTGCTCAAACATCGGTCGATTTAATCGCATGTCGCGGACGAGGAGACGGCACGTCCATCCGTTTCCCCACTCTAGGGGAACCCGCATCTCGCCGCGCGTTTTGCTCTACGTGCGTACACGTACCCCCCGGTACGTATGCCGTCTTCTCCCCCTCGACGTCGCGGCGCGTTTTCCGCCGCCCTATCGTCCTGCCGCCTTCCCACTGCACCCACAATCTCAGTCGCCCATCGTCTGTTCCCCGCCCTGTCGCTTCGCCTCGTCGACGAACATACCGCCGCATTACTCATGAGTATTCGCGAGCGTGGCGAACAAAGCCGGCAAGCCGTCGCAGCTGAGTACAAAGTTCCGCGGCCCGCGCGATATACAATTTCTCGAGTGCGCGAGTACGCGCGATATCGACGATTTCTCTCTCTTTAATTCTTTCGTAGCGACGGAGGTGGGGACTGCGATCACGTCGCGCCGATACCGGCGATTATCTGATAGCGACGCGTCAACAGTCGCGTAATAGTCGCGCTCTGCGACATATGAAAGTTCGGCGCGATGAAACATATGTATAACATCTACATATATAAGGTATACCACACAAAGAACTTTATTTGCGTGGATTTTTCCGGCTAAATGCGAGATTTGAGATTACGTGGACTTTTAACATTGAGAATTGAGTGACGTCCGATTACGTCTTTCTCAAGGAAAACTCGATAGAAAATTTACGATGTGGTTTGTCATCCGGGAATAATGTGACGTAAGAGTGATCGGGAGAATAACGGCAATCATCGACGCAATTATTTTAAGGGGATGATGGAAATTTCTCGCGGCGATAAAAAACGAGAAGATAATCGCGAGCTTTGCTTTATGACCTTTATCGATGCGTCGCGCGACCCATTTGAGGCTCGATATTATTTCTATGATTGTCATTATCAAGCATTGTGAATATTATAATTTTTTCTAACATGGTAAGTGCCATGTTAACCACGATAGCATTATCTTAATGATATTGCCACAGCTTTACGCATTTACAAGAATCAAATGATCTCACCGACATCGTTGACATTTCCTCGCGAGAGACGTAGATGCACATTTCCGTGTAAAATATATTCACTTCGCGTCTCGATCCAATCCGCAAACGTCATCTACATTATTTTTACCATACTGGACATTTTTGAACGACGAAAGAAGAAAAAAAATTCAGCAAGAGAATCGTATATCCAGTCAGATCGATGGGTTCTCAGGCGACCCCTCGTCATCTTTCTCAAACGCGACATGTACGGTTACAGACGGTTGCGAACAGCTATGGTAATAAAAAGGGGTAGCGTTGAAGGGTTAAAGACCTAGGCGGGATGCCCTTCGTCGATCCGCCGCGTCCGGTCAGCCCGGTTTAGAGCGGGAGAAATAAGGGGAAGCGAAGAAGCATAATGCCATACGAGCAACACTTACAACACTATTCGCTACCGTCTTCGGATGGATCTGCAGGCCGTCGTCGTCGCCGATCTGCTCGCCGATCTGTTCGCGGCTGCTGGCCGGTCCCATCTCTCAGCGGCGCAACGTCCGTCCGGCTTCGACGCGTCGACCAGCTCGACCGACCGAGCCCTCGGACGATCGACACAACAACCCGGGTCGCGGCACAGCCCTCACGACGCCCCCATTGGCGCCAGCCCGATCGGGATCGGGATCGCGGAAGTCACGGTAGCTGTTCGATGGCAGCTTCCTCGGCTACGTCTACGTCCATTTGCGAGAAAGCCCGCGATTTCCTGCCTTCTCGTAGCGCTCCTCGTGTTCTGTTCCTTGACGCCTCCTGCTTACCGTTGTACTCCGTGTATTCGCGACGACGGTACGCCACTTGCTTGCTCGGATAACTTTATTCCGAGCTGAACACGCGAAGAATTAGATCCTGTTGTCTGCTCTGCAATCAGCTCTTCCGGTTTGACGACGAGTTTCAGTCAAAAGTGACGGTGGACAATCGATTCCGCGAGTTCACCGTAGTGCTCTCTTCTTCCGTGCTTGTGCCTTCTCGTTTCCCGATTAGGTTTGTCGTACGCAGACGAGCTTGGAAGGGTTCAAGCTTGACGTTCAAACGTGGAATTGAACTCTGGCTTGGAAGTTTCAGTGATCTCGACGAGTTAGTTCTTGTTGCATTACGTTATTCTTTACCGTCGTCGTGAAAACTCGAAGTGGACACCGGTGACCTCTTCGTCACTATTTCCACGACGACCTCCGAAGGAGGTATCTGGGGCAACATCGAGTCGATACAGCTCGGTAACCTGCTTGCGCTGACTTGGACGACAGTGTGAAACATATGACCACCGATCGTCTTCCTGATATCCTCGTATTTCCGTCACTTCGTTTCTCGCAGAACGACTTTCCGATTACCGTATCTCCTCTCTGTCTTGCTTTCCTCACATAAGTTTTCCACGAATATCGCTCGCAAATATCGCGCGCGGCTTGACAATTGCTCAAGACTTATGTCAGGTTGCGACACCACCGGCGCGGATTCGACGAGAAACTTTTCCTCAGGTCCTCAGGTCACTGGTTCACCGGTGCCCTCCTGTGCGGTTATCTCACGGTGATCGATCGCGCAGCTTACCCCGATGTTCTCCGATGTGTTAGAGTCGCGCGACCGCTACCAAGCGTTGGTACCGACCGCGACGTTCCGACGATGACGACTACGATGACGGGGACGATGTCGCGCACACCCACCTGGTTCCCGAGATAACTACACCGCGAAACTTTGGCGCAGGAGGCGAAGGTTGATGACGCTCGAGAAGGATCCCGCGGCGCTCGAGGAAGTAGAGCCGGGAACGCGTGTCGCCGCCGGTTTCAACTCGATACGCCGGGGAAAAGGGACGAAGAGAGAGATCCTCCTCGCCGGAGAGAAAAGTTTCTCTCCCGCCGCGGGTGGGTAGCGCCGCGGCGCCCCGGGATCAATAAAACGACCGCCCGGCCGTCGCCTTCCCTAGGTCCTGCCTGCCTGCTCGCTGAGGTCTCTTCCGTAAGCTGCTTTTGCGCGACGCCGGACGCAGAGACGTCCCGACGCGTGCGCCTGCCACCGCCGCTCTACGCGCCGATCCCTGGACGCGACAACGACGCGGAACGGCGCCGCGCTGCGCTCCGACGCGAACTCCAAGTGCCGCGCGCACGCTCGCTCGCGTGCGGGACTCGCGCCGGGTCGATACTCGACACCGCGGCCAGGAGCGTCGAGACAGGGAAATTCGCGAAAAACGCGTTCGCGGAATTCGCTTTTAAATCCTTCAGCTGAGTGACAGGCACGAACGTAGACTGGAGTACGTTGCTCGAGGATGGCCGCTGCAAACAGAAGAGAATACACGCATCCTCCGCTGAAATTTGAAGAAGAGAAAACTTTTAATGGCAGAGACAAAAAGGAACGATAAAGAGGAAGAACAGAAGGACGATGATTATGGCATGACATGTTGCTCAAAAGATACAAGGAGGATCAAGAATAGCAGATGTGAACTGATAGAGATAGATAACATTGAATTCTTAGTTGACTTACGTCAATGGAAATGTGCAGTGACGGTGATGTTGTCCGAAAAGAGCGCGCGTTTCATCCAAGTTCGTGACATTCAGTATTAGAGGCTGCGCACTGCTCCGCTAAGTTAGACGTAGGATTCTCGTTATTCTGGATACACTCCTGCATATACTACTTGCCGCATAATCGTATACATTGCAGAGAAATTAGAAGTGTTAGTTTCCTCGGAAATCAGCTGTGTAGAGCGAGAGCGAAAGCGAGAGAGAGAGAGAGAGAGAGAGAGAGAGAGAGAGAGAGAGAGAGAGAGAGAAGGAGGGAGAGGGAGACGCTTGTTATATAGAAATATCTATTAAAAGGTATAACACGTCTCGTTCCATTCTCAGTTTGCTGCAAAAGGAACGATATTTTTAGTTACTCGTTCCCTCATACATTTTTAACAAATACACTTTTGTGATATTTGTGCGCCGTTTAAAAAGATTTACATTTTAAATATAAATCTACATATAAAAGGATATCTACAATATCTGTGGGTAGAGGTTGACATAAGATATTTAAATTACGGTAATTGCGTGCGATTGTATCGCGAGGTATTATCGAACATCTATGGAAGCGCACGCAAACTTTTATTTGGAACGGCCGGTCATTACCTCGATATAACCGCTGGGTCAGTGCAACTGACGTATCTCGCTTACCCTCATGAATAATTTGTTACGAAAAATAACTCGAAAAATCTCGAATACACTAATTGTTAAACTGATAAATTCAGGACGCAGCGGTAGATCGCAACTGCTGTTGCAAATGTAACAATATTCAGTCCCAGATTTGTTAACGATACAATACAATTTGTCGTTGTCGATTAATCAAATGACTTGTTCTCTCATCTCACTGTTGCAGCGTGATTTATTCATCATCGTTGGTATATGAATACCACCAGAATAATAACTCTTATAATATCGACTGGACTATACTTGCACTATATCCTGCACGATTGCTTTCATTTTATTCCTACTCTTTGCAGATCGATAGTCGACAACCCTCAGTGCTAGCCACGAACATGTGTTCCAAGGATAGTCCGTAGTCTGGCAATATTCTATTATTGTCTGCCATGATAGCGAAGTGAAACTTGCCTAAAAGTTCAGCGCAGAGTAGGGCACTGAATAGCGCTAACATTTGATGTAATCTCTCAGATATTTGTGTAAAATCGAATCGAGACTAGACCGGAATATAAGAAAAAATCACACGCACTTATGTCGTTTGTACAGAAACTCGAGAGAAATATTTAAATAGCATTAATACATATATTGTTTTCATGTCTCAAAACGTATGACGCGTTCGTGAGGAATGCTTTCAAATTTATCACACGTCTTGAGACGTCACTTTGCAATTTTTTTCACAGTTTCGTAAGTGTTTAATAACTTGTTTCGCGATATTGCTTAGATTGCTACGCTTCGAGGACACCATGAGTTCAATCATATCGATCGGAATGGCTGCGGTGAGATCTTGAATGTATTTCGGCTCCGTGAGATCGTAAGTGATGGACTGCAGAACGCGAAGACAAAGCAGTTGTGTTTCTTCCATGGATGATTTATCTCTTAGACAATGACTCAATGGGTCTCCCACTCGTGATGCCAGTAGGTATTGCAAGCCTGTCTTGTTCATACTTACATTATACAGCACCATTAGTATCAATCTGTAATGCAATTGCGCTTGAGACATTCTCGATGCACGCAAGGTGTACGTATCATGTAAGATTTCGTATCAAAGAAGTCGTGAAAACTTTTTTCTGAAATAATTGCGAACAGAAATGATCGAAAAAATATGACGGAAAAATTAGTTAAATTGCAAAGTGCATGTACCTTTTCAAAGGCGACGACCCGGAACTTGGTGGTAATTCGGGAATCAGTTTAATTATTTCCAGCACGAATTCCTTGCCGCTAGAATTCGTAATTAAAAATTCACGACCCTCCGGGCTCGCGGATAAGTTGGTGACGATGCCGAGGAGTCCTATTATAAACTTGTACTCAACGTTGCTGGTTGGGGGAAGTGACGTTTTGTAAGTGTTAACAAACGCGCTGAAAGTTCCGTACACTATCGACAAGAATTCTTCTAGTTTGCTCTGTAGCTGTGAAACCGCGACACGCAGTTAAAACAACTCAATAACTATATAGTATATTATAATATACTATTATAGTATATTATAGTATATTATAGTATATTAGTATTATTATTATAGTATATTATAGTATATTATAATATACTATAAAAGTATCATATTTCTTGTGTGTTATTTTACATAGAAAAAATTTCAAAATATGTGTTGCGCTCTTTTGTTTGATGTTTTCATTGTACTCACGGTCGATAACCAGGCATCGATTGTTTGTGGAAATCTAGAAGCACGCCATGTCAAGTTACCTAACACAGCACCGAGAGTTGCGCAATAGATACTTTGGCTTAATACCTGAGGAAAAATAAAAAGGCACATAAAGTAGTTAAGAAATAGCTTTTAAGTAATAGTCTTTTACAAAACAGATAAGACAGAAATATTGCACTATGTCGACACTTGTTTCGTCGCATTACAACACAACTTCGGAATAATCCATAATATGCGAAAGTAAAGTTGAAAAAAAACGTGAAAAATTCGTATCATAGAATACAACAATGAAACAATCATGTCAAGATTAATATAAAAACGGGATAATAAAATTTTACTTGATCTTTTAAATGTCTTATCTCTTCGTACGCGGTTTCCTTCTCCGTCGTCAAGCGTTCAACTTCAGCGCTCAGCTTCTCGCATTTCGACTCCAAAGCTATCAGTTCTTTCGCGTTATCTGTATGAATTAAAGTAACGTTTAAATTTTGTTAATTGCAAGTTAATCCGCCGTCATTCACACTCCACTTTTAACAGATTTACTCATACGGCGTGTATTTTACGCTTCGTGTGATAAGTAATAGCGAATTAAAATAAGAAATTTGTTATAAAACACCTTAACCTTTTGAAACGCTAACGGACGACGTTGAAAATTTATTGAAAAACGTGTGGATTTTATTTTCATTTGTCTCCTCACTGTGAAATCCACGTCGGAAATTGTTAGTCGCGAGGATATTCGGTAAGTCGCTTATGAATTCATGGAGATTACGCTCGCTGGAGCTTAAGATTGCCTCCAGGGAATTCTGAAATCACGAGACAGGGCAACTTGAGATTACGAAATACATTTACGCTAAGGGTTTAAGTATTATAATTTTACAAAATACGCACGAAAAGCTCGTGGTCATTTGCGAAATTGAGATGATCCATGTATGCTTCCGTCCTCGCGTGACTAAACAAGAACTGCAATGAACTCGGTGGATGCAAACGCTTTTCAAATTTATCGCAAAATTCCGCTGCGATATGACAAATGCCTTCTCGATTATGCTTTACGACTTTAATTCGGTGTCTCTAACCTGTATGTTTGTGTAATTGTTAATTAAATTTATCCTCGTGTTTTACATCGATCTTATATATATCACAATAATATCAATCATTAGGAATTTTTTACATAATAATATGCATTGTCGTCAATATTAAGAGTAGTTTCTAAATATAAATACGTATACGTATATATATCAGGTTTGGAATACCGTGTGAAACGCTGCTGAACGTAAGGTATGCAGGAACGTCTCACCATAACGCAATTTCCGTTTATTGCGATAAGATAAGGCGCGTTCGGGCCGGATATTTACTGCGACGTGCACAATGTTATACACACATCGCATTACAATGCATCCAAGAGGAATTGAACGGTCTCCGCCATGAGCGCGCTGTGTGGCGCGAAGTTTGCGCGAGAGACCGCTACCGTAACGATAGATCGACTTCCCGCGTGGTTTCTGTCGGATGCTTTTCGGAACACGCGCGGCGTGCCATCGCGCGCGCATCGCCATCCCCCGTTTAGTGTTATGATGCGCCAGAACGATATTGAGTGTAACCTCGCGACTTGTGGTAGTTTTATTATTTTTCGAGCTGCGTGGAGATCTCTGCGGAGTAAAGCCGGTCGCGGACCGGAATCGCACAGAACGTAAGTCGCACGGCGAATTATATTCCGAGCGAGATACAGTCGCGTTTAATTCACGATCGAGGCGCGACGAGTGTGCTGCGCGACGTCTCACTGCTCCGTTAACCTTGCTCGATGTACTTTTTCGATTATTGTTCGATGTACAATACGAACAGGCAGAATTTTATGATCGAAACGATATATGAGCTAATCGAATCAGCATATCGATTTTAAGCTGATTCTCAGGATACCGTGTTTCACAGGTGTGTCTATAATGATGTTTACCGAGGGTGAAGAGGTGATTGCCAAGTACCCAAATACTTCTGAATATCATAAAGGAAAGGTCCTCAACATCAGAGGTGATCAGTACAAGATACGATTCGACACAGGTGTCGAACATACAGTTAACCAGATGGACATAAAGGTAATTGTTGGTGTGCTAGATAGAAATTAATGCTGTTCAAAATTATATATCTGACAAGATCATAGAATGAATTAAAAGTGTTGAGATAGTTTATTTTTATCATTCATTATAATATATACATTATAATGTTTTGCTCTTATTTTTCAAGCGTGAAAGAACAGCAAGGACTCCGACCAGAACAAGCAGCAGAATAGCTAGGAAGAGTCCTATGAGATATTCTCCTAGCAGGAGATCTCCGAGTAGACGATCACCTGCTAGACAGTCACAGACTAAGAAAATATCTGTTCGTAGTACACGTCTTGCAAAGGTGTCTCTGTCACGTATAGATGTCGAAAGTGGTGAGTATATTATTTTTTGCTGTCTGCTTGTTAGATATATCAGGACATATGTGTATACAAGTTTCTCTTCATTCAGATAATATAAACAGTTATAAAGAAGAAGGTAAAGTGAGAGCAAACGATGAAAGCCCAACTGAAACCATGCCTCTGCAGAAACGTTTAAATGAGATCAACATGTTGACACGTAGATCGACTCGAATGTCGAGCATATCCAAAATTGAGAAGGAATATATACCAATTGTATTGGTCAGAGATGTTGACCGAGCTGCTTCGCTTCCAATAGAGAAAAAGAGCTATTTATTTGATTACCCTCTGGCTGAAAGAGGAAGAGGATATTCTATGCAGCGAGATAAAGTAATTGTCCTTTCACATATAATGTATTGTCAATGTTAGATTTGTTTTTTGTTAATTTTGTGCGCAATATTCTATTTACGATATAACAGCTAATGGGGTGTAATAATAATCAGTTTCAGGATCCAACAAAATTCATTCAGGAGAGTGAAAAACCGGTGGTGACCTCGATACCGGTGAACCGCGAGAAAGGAATAATTAGAATCGATCAACCACAAGAATGGGGTGGTTGGATCGGAACTTCGCTTCTTCTATTTTTATTGCCGTTATCTATAATTCTGCCGCAATTTCTATGCTCGAAGGGACGAGGCCAATCTTATCTCGTGCAACTTTCCACCGACTGGAGATCTTACATAAATTGGCGCGGTTTTTTAACTTACTTTGTATACTTAATAGCATTGGCTTGCGTCTCGATTGTACCGATTGGAAAGAACGTGGACGGACAACAAAGTAAAATCGGAAAATTGCAATATCGTGTAAATGGTACATAAGTTTAATATTGTGTGTGGTTCACTTTTAATTATACTTATTTCTAGTTTTAACATTTTCTCGGATATTTTTTCAGGATTTATAAGTGCTATATTGGCAGTATCACTACTTGGTTTATGTGTATATAAGGATGTTCCACTCACTGATTACATTTTGAACAATTCCGTTCAATTGACAATCAGTGGTTGGCTTGTCGGAACAATTTTAGCGCTGGGACTATATGTCAAGGCAGAGAGAGCTCCGATAGCTAATTTGAATATATACGCGTCAACCAACAGTAAAATATACAACTTTTGGCAAGGCAAAGAGGTCAATCCACGAATTGGGATTTTGGACATTAAACTGCTGTTGATACGAGCTTCTCTCATAGGCACGGTAATTATTTTGTGTTCAATTCTCGTCGTAAGCAAACTCAATACGAAAATTTTCGATACGATTATTTATATATATATATATTTTTTTTTACAGTTAATCGTGAACATAGCAGTTGCCATTAAAGCTATTGGTGACGTAAAAAATCCAAAGATTGAACAACTCGACCTACCTACATTGTTAGCGAGCTCCTTGCACTTTTTCTATATCTTAGATGGCTTGATATATGAAGCCACTATCTTTACATCCTTTGCGGTAATGTACGAGGGAACTGGATACATGACATGCGTTAGCCACTTACTATATCCGTTCTTGCCAACTCTTACGACAAGATTCATGTTGTATCACAAGTGAGTATATCTGTTATACATGTGCACATATTTATTATGATAAATCCCGACAAATTTAATTTATATTTCACGCATTTCCTTTAATTGCTATTTCACGTATTTCCAGGTCAAAATTTAATTATTACATGGGCATATTCGTTTTGATCTTCATAGTGGGGTACATGCTATACAGAATTAGTAACTCACGGAAGGATGAGTTTAGAAAAAATCCTGTTTCGCCCACAGTGCCTTGTAAGTAAAAAAATCAATAATCATTATATCATCTTTTCTAAGCAAGATAAATTAATATATTTCTATGGGATTTGTGCAGACTTGGAAACTATTCCGACGTCGCGTGGAAAGAAACTTATGCTGTCCGGTTTGTGGGGTTACGTTAGACACCCGAATTATTTAGGTGACATTATGATGCAATGGTCCTTTACAGGTGTCAGTTTGGCTACTGACGTTCTACCTTACTACGCTGCTATTTGTTGTGTGTTAACGTTAGCTTATAGGGCAATTAGAGACAACAGACGTTGTCAGGCGCGTTACGGATACGCATGGGAGGAATATTGTACTCGCGTAAAGTACATGATCTTAAAGGGCGTATTTTAAAGAAATGACAGCGCAATATTTTTAAGCACCAAATTTCATATCATAAAGAAATACTGCGATGCTCATTGTATCTTATAGGAATCTCAAATTATATACTTCGTAATATTTTTACATTATGAGATTATAATAGTATTAGAATAATATAGTATATTTTTAATTCTACAATACTATCTATATAAATTGTATAATTCTCTATATAAAATTGTATAATTCTCTATATAAAATTGAACAAAATTGAGAACAAAAACCAAAAGTATTTTGTTGATATCGAGAAGTTTTGTTAGAATTAAGTTTATATATTAAGATTTTTGGACGACAATAGAGAAACGTATGAAATACGTTGCTGAATATTTTAATGAAATGATTGAATGTTTATTATATTATGTAACATTTATATATAAATATAGTGTTTAAAACGTGCCTGTAATATGAAAGAAGAGCACTGAAATGTGAAAATACAAATTAATTAAGGAATTTTATACTTTTGTACATTAAATACGTGTATGTACAATTATTACGAAATTACGAAAAGCGACTTCCCCTTAGATAATATGGTTTATTAATAAAATATATTAGCGCCTATTCTCGTGTCTATTGTGTATTCTAACTCTGCAGTGTATTTTAAATATAAAAGACGAAAATAATGAGATGGACAATTTAATTAACAGTAGTAATACAATTGATATTTGTACACACTTATTTTTTATTAAACTGCTCGTATGTATGTACATGTACATCTACTTACTATAAAAACAATTTCCGATAAAGTGAGTTATTAAAAATGTGTTCAATTGTTTGTCTGTAATGTAATCCTCACGAACTGAAGTGTAACATATCGTTACATACTTCGTTGATAAGATGGTCTTCTTTGTTACACGAATTTCTATCTAATAATTCGCTTCTTTCTAAAGAAGTAATATTTTTCAAATTGTATATAACTTACTGGAAAAATAATGAAAGCAAATTTCCATCGTATATTTGCACATCTATTCGCAGTAGACACGCCAGTAGTCGTTCGAATAATTGTACATACCTATATATATATGTATATATATATATATATATATATATCATTCTCTAATATATCCATTTTATATTTCTTAAAATTACAATTAAAAATCGCCGCACTAAAAGCTGCAAAATTACATTTCTATGTGACATTTTTTGAATTTCATTGCGCGTTTCCTTTTCTTAAGAAAAATACTGTTTAAATTTATATGTGTGATAAACTATATCGGTGAATAATTAAAAAGAAAAGAAAGAACTGTAGAAATATGTAACGATTTTTGGAAAAAAGATTCTTTCCAATTTTGTATATATCGTCAATGTAACTATCCAAATCGTCATTTTTATGAATGCACACCTTGTTTAATGATAAATGCGCATAAACCAATCGCAGTTAATTCAATGCCAATAATATTTATATTGAAAGAATACTTTATTTCTTTCTTGAGTTTCATTAAACAGCGCTGTTGAAACCTCGATAGACGGCAGATAAAACTTGCAACTTGTGATCTGTTAATTTCTCGCTTCCGACATCGATTTTTTTCGTTTACTTTGCAGAATTACGAACCAGATTATTTAACGTAAATCAATCGACGATAATAAAAGTAATTTAAGTCATAGATACGGAAAAATTAAGCTAAATAACATTGTCTACGAGAGAGAATATTTTTCAACACACTTAAGATTAATTTTGATTTTTAAAGCGTATCTTTCAATATACGTAGAAGAATCATAGAAACTTATTTATTTCTAAAATAGAAGAGATGACTCAGATCATTTTTGTCATCGTATACATTATAACTTTTTGATTTCGTCACGAATTGTCATCCAAATACTGTTTATTGACATTTCTTCCGCGACAAAGCTATCATACTTCGTTAGGAACATATTGTCATTCTTTCGCGTCGCTTATTGCTATATTATGTACTTTCTAATTACCAAAAAAATCGCACGAATAAACGAAAACCTCGTGAACATTGTCGTTTGGCACATAATACATATACACACGCATACATACGCACATGCATGTCCATACGCGTTCGTTTAATTTTTATCGTTAAGTGTTTCGTGGCAGCTTTCGATTCAGTACTTTCATCACCCGCTAAATATGTTCAGTGGACTTTAGTTCTCGCGAGAAATACTACACCGTTTGACGCGTATCGTAGCTCGAAGACGCGAGAGGACGCGAGAATTCCTCCCGAATCGATTGGTCCTCGGGGCCCAAACGAGGCCGAGTGAAACGTTGATACATTGACGTCCGTTCAGAAAAAGTAGAAGACCCAGTACACGGCGTTGAACAGCATGAAGCTGACCGGGAAGATGATTCGCGAGTACTTGTCTATCACATTCACGTCCTTGATCTTCGGCATCGATACGCGCAACACGGAAGCTCCTCTACGTATGGCATGTAACACCTATAAAATATAATTGTAACTTTTAAATGTAATAAGAAAAACCGATTCTAACAACTGAGACGAATTGTTCTTTCCCGTGCAAAAAAAAAGTAAAAAAAGAGTAATTTTTATATCTAAATTATACTTGTTATTTTGTACATTTTCGTTTATTTTCTTTTTTAACATGAACGACACAACACAATTCGTCGTAGTTGTTATTATTGCTTTTTACAAAATTATTTACTGCTTTCTAAAAATTGTATTTCTTAACTTTAAGCAATTATATGAAACAATGCAGATATATTTATAACCAAGACGTGAGAGACACGCACACGAGTCCGAAAGACATAGCGGAGACGTTTCAACACCGCCTCGCTTCTTCGGACATTCTTTAGATGTCTTCTGCATTGTTGGTATTATTAGGGAATACCTTGACATACCTTTGGCTTATGTGGTCTCGGGCCTCTGTATCTGAGACCGCTGTTTCGGGCGTGCGTATTATAAGCGGCCCTGGAGATGCGAAAGCTCGGTGGAAACTTGGCTGGATCGTGATCTCTTCCGACCCCGGACGTTGACGAAGTGCTGACCAGGCCCGACCTATTTCTGATGCTCGGCAACGGCGACATTCGGAGATCCTGGAGCTCTATGATGTCCGCGTCCGTAGAACCGGGAAAAGGCGAGCTAGCTTTGCTGCCTGAAAGAAAGAAGACGAGAATTAGCGAAGCGAAAAGTCAAAGATGCGGAAGCTCCCGAGATGACAAATCGTTGCTTAATATTCACCCACCAGGTTTGGAGGAAAGCACTTTCCTCTCGTCAGTCTCCTTCTTTTTGGTTTTCTTCTTTGCCCGGGCGCCCCAGTACGTGTAATTGACTGCCGCATATTCCAGCAGGGCCGCGAACACGAAAACGAAGCACATTACCAGATAAATGTCGATTGCTTTCACGTAACTGATCCGTGGCAGTGAGCTTCTAACACCCGTTGATATTGTTGTCATTGTCAACACCGTCGTGATTCCTGAAGGAAGAAGAGAAAATTGTAATTGTGATAAGATAATTTCTAATAGAGAAATTTCTGTTCCAGAACTCTCACCGAGAGCCACTCTCGCGCTGGTGGCTTCATGATTGATCCAGAAACTGACCCAACTGAGCATCACGATCAGTATACTTGGCAGATATGTCTGAAAAACGAAGTAACCGATGTTCCTCTGAAGCTTGAAGCTCAACGAAAGCCTTTGGTAGATGCCGGTCGCCAGCTTCTCCTTCCGATCGTTGGTCTCATAGCCGATTATCGTGAATTGCGGCAATTCCGCCTCCTCTACCCCGCGAACGGGGGTTTCCTTCCAGTACATTACTACATCGAGCACCGTGTACCCGTCTGAACATGAAGAGTAGCGTAATATAGAGCAAGTCAGCAACCAACATTATAAAGAGTGTCAGAAGTCTAATCGATTGATTCTTTTATTCATCAACGACAGTATTATCCCGACTACATCGTAACCGCAAAATCTCCAGATATACATACAACTTTGCCGCGAGGAGAAACTTAGGTATCAACGTCGTCAACGTTACTATCGCATGTGCTTCTCTTTCGCTGTTTAAAAATATATCTTTGATTACAGGGAATACCTTGGACTCTGGAAAATGAGAAATTTGGCGGAAGCTATCCGTTCTCAAACGATCGCTCGCGAATACGTATCTGAACACGTACAGCTCTCGATCTCTACGGTGCAGTTCTGCGAGTCGAGAGGATAATAGTGCAAGTCCATCATGCAGGCCAGGGTCGTCGTGAATCTCATGCCGTACGTGACCGAGCCATCACCAGCCAACCTGACGAGTTTGTTGCGCTCGGTGACGTCGTGCAGGAAGCTGCGAACAAGAAAATATGCAATGTAGCAGTCAACCAGACAATATTCACGATGAAAAGAAAGGTCGCAGTCACTAATAGTCAGGTGAGTGACTTCTAGATTTACACCGCATTGCGATTTACATTGTTAGGAAAACTTCATAATTTGGTTATGAAACTCTTTTACATAACTAAATTATGAAAATTAAAAACTAAATTAAAATATCAGTTATTAATTGATTATTAAATGCATTATACTATGCATTATTAAATATTATAATATTTTATAACGTGTTATAAAATATCATAAGTATAAAAATTAAACAGGAAGTTATATAATAAAAAACATTAAATTTCATATTTGTTCTATAATTATAAAACATATTGAGCTATTTCTAAATAATAGCACTGATCACAAACTTTGCACGGTTATAAATTTTAATATAAAATTCTTAAATTCACACACATACATCAGCGAAATATTAAGGACATTCAAGAACTTTTTTTTAATAATGTATATTTATCATTGTGGTCGTTACCTGTTCTTGTCATTCGCGAAGAACGTGTCCGGAACCCAGATCTTTTCCGCGAAGTCGCCGCTCAGCGTGAGAACTTCGTCCTCGTGTGAAAAGGCGAGTCTCTCGTCCTTCCAATATTGATTCAAGTACATCGTTATCGTGTAATCCTAAGATGCGAATCGCAATTAAGTATCCGAGACACAACTACGTTGCTAAAACTACAACTTATTAATTATTACAATATTTATAACATTAATTACAATTAATTACGTGAAATTGTATAGATATCTCAGGCATTACGCAACATTTTATTCGCAATTTTATACTTAATCGTCAGATTTTTATGCGTCACGATCATTTTCGAGATTCTACGTTCTACATTAACACGTAACGAGGTTAAAAAAAATATATTACACTCGACAGACGTTGATCGACGCGCAAGAAGAAAGGAGGAAACTTTAGTATATGTCGCAAATCGATCACTGGTGCGGTTTATCGGCCCCCCGAAGGCAGAAATCGATTTGGAAGCGACGACGGAGACATTATGAATATCGGTGAGAGAGCGTGCTCCGTATCTCGAGGATCATACATATATAATATCGCGATAGCAACATCCGATGCAAGACGCGTGCATATTTTAGCTTACATGCACGACACAGGGGAGGCGTATTACTTTACGCGGATCTTCTTATTTAACTCATTTATCCTGCTTACTCACCATATTAACTTCTGAGATCGCGTCGAAACTCGCGATGGTGAGATCCATTCCGACCAACAATGGATCACCTTTGAAATACGATGTATCATTAATTCGCCGAATATCTCGTGTTGCGTAACGCGAAAAAGAAAAGGAAGAACGGACACCCCAATTTCTCCTCTTTTCAAGCTGCTCATGATGGAAAGAGATCCGTTAAACGGAAAAGAAATAGTTTAAAGCCGCCTAATCCATTGATAATATCGGCGAATTACTTCCCCCTCGTTGCACGTTCAATTAAAAGCGCTGATTGCGATCGTGCCTCGTTGAATGGCATGGAAACTTCATTAAAAGCTTCCACAGGGAAAGAGGAGAGGGAGATGAAGGGAGAATCACCGGTGGAGGAGTTCTATCTTCGATTGTAAGCGAATAGCTTCATTCTAGTATCTAGCTTTATTAATTAATACGGCTCTAATATCACATTTCATTGAAATATTTCAAGCGTTAAAATTTTTGTGAAAAAAAGGTAAAGAAAAAAACGTGCGAACTTAACCTTATCCGGACAAGATTTAAGGCGTAAGAACCGACAAGTGAGAAGCTTACCGCCGAAGTTCGGCCTTAATCGAATATCGTAGCCGTCGAGTATCCTCGAAATTGTCTGCGTAACGTTCTCCAATCTATTGGACATCCCGGTGCTCTCTAGGGTAGCCCTGCGAAGTGTGAAATTTCGGAAATGCGGAAATTATCGATAATACTGGGGAGCGTTAAAATATCATAGGGAGCTCGTTGTCAAAGCTATCGAATGAACGTTGCTGATCAAACAAGTGAGATCGACTATCTGATTGACGTCACTTTTTTTATTGAAGTACACACCGAGACATTCGTTGACGCTCATTGCTTTCTCAAGCATGACTTGAAGAGAAAATCTCAAGTCACATTTCCCTCCGCAATACTTGAAATAAATTGTCAAGTGAAAATTGTATTCGTATCTTAAATTGACTGTAATGTCGCTACTATTGTCGCGGAGATACGTGCAGTAAAGTGCGATGAACAAAACGGCGCAAAAATTGGCAGTGAAAATCATGCGTGAAACAGAAATAATGTCACGCATTGCACAATTGCTACCACTAACTAATTCCGCCACCGCCGATCTGGTCTGGTCCATAGCAATCATTTTACTCATGATCGTGATATACTTCATCGTCTCGAGGAGATAACGGATCGTGCGCGAGTCTGGGAATCTCCGAATGCAATCTTGCCTCGAGGGGATTATCAGATTCTCCTTTCACCCCGGAAATAGAGCTTTGTTGTGTCTCCTTGTGTACAGTGGCCTGATTGGAGCTCTGATTGCTCGTACAATCACATATGCCGCACGTCGAGCTTAATTCAGGTATATCTAATTACTTCCTTACTTCGTGATACTTAATCATGACGCGGGAAAATGACAAAAAAGAAAGTAGAATTTCATTCCATCTTTCACTGTATAGAGTTAACAAATGTCTGAATAACATCTTTTTCTCTCTCCGGATGTTTGCTCGTAAAACGCATCTCGATTCGATCGTCTAATTCGGATGGATAAACGGGATTTCGGTATATCGTATTTTAGAGAAAGCTCAATTGCCGAAATCGAGAGTGCCGAAAATATAACTAGAAACAGCAGTGCGTATTTCGCGCGCGAAGGTGCGTGACACGTGCGCGTCAGCGATACTCGGCAGCGCGAGGAAAAGTGGCGGGTATCGTTGAAGCTCACTTATTCCGCGGCAGGAATGGATCTCGCGTGACGAGACGATGCTCACCAGATGACACGATGACGTAGCTGCACGAGGAAGACGACGATGAACGGCAGCGCGCGCGGCAGCATCCTGCCAGTCGTCTGCGTTATCGGGGCGGGATTGCGTCAGTGAACGAGCGGGCAGGACGTCATCCCGTCGCGTTATCCTCGCATCCCCTCGGCATCCCCGTGGCCGGCTCGCCGCCACCGTCTGAAAGCAGACAAAGAGAAGCACCGTGCACACACACACCGTTGGCGACCCTTTTCCGCACACCGCCGCCCTTGACCCCGTGTACCAACGTCGCGCGTACTCCCACTACATTACACTCGTAAGCGAGCACGCAACTCCGAGTTATATCCAACACACGGAACTAACTACTCTGCAGGGTGATTACATCGAATATTCCGGCTTAACCCTTGCACTTCGACGGAGCGAGATAGAAGGATATATATATATACACGTATCTGTCTGTTTGACCTGGCAATTTCTGTGCACATGTAACGGTCTCGCCTCTTGGGGCCTCAAATTGAGGACAAACAATTAAGATTTTCAGCGGGAGTGTTTACGGACGCACGCTCGGCGAATCCATTGTCGCGCGATGTAAGGATACGAGGAAAGTATCGATACTCTTGTCTCGATACTCTCTTTAGATTCTATTCAACGATCCGCACGTCCCGCGAGGATGACTTTTGCCGCCCACGACGAAATTCCATCTACCGTTGAAGCGTTTGCGTTGAATAATAAGAAGAAGAGTGTACAAAATATACCCTCGCGCCGCGCTCTTCTTATTCCGTAGAACGATCAAGATGACGAAGATCTTGTTAGCCACGAAACTCTATACTCCGTAAATAATGACGGTCAAGGACGACTTTCTTCACCCGCTCCCGCGCCTAGCTTTATTAATGCTTTCGTTTTAGATTGATGAGGAAGTGATATTTCATGCGCTCGACGCAAACTCCTGTTTCGCCTGGCATGTAAAATTCACGAATAAAATTGTGTTATTAATACACCTCGATACTGGATAAATATTATCCCCGATACCTCGATACTGGGTAAATATTATCCCCGATGAGATTTTGCACGTAATCATTATTTTATTTTTTTTCATAATTATCGTCGATAAATCGCACAAAGCCGCACGGTAAAAGTCGCGCTGATGATTGTCTGTCGGCCAGTAGAATCGTACTCACGATGTTAATTCCGCAGATCGTGGTATGAGTTAACGAACAATTCATAATACGAATACGAAAAAAATTGTTCCTTGCATAGTCGCTATAAGACAAATTGTCCACCTCCTCGTTCGCATTTCTTTTTCTTTTCCCGCGTCGTTTTCCCATTATCTTATAAAGGACTAACATACCTGATGCATCCGACGTGAATCACGACGATTTCATTGCCGATTCAGCGATGAACGATCAGGCTGGTTATCAAGTCACCGTCTCTCAGTGTTATCACTCGCGTGCACTTCGGTCCGCGGATCGCGAGTCACAACATCGCGGTCTCGCATCGATTGCGTCTCTCAGGATCGCGATCTTCCTAGTGTCGTGAGTCTACCGTGAACGAGCGTTCTCACTGGGCCCGTCGTTGTCAGCGTTTGTGCAGTGTCCAACGTTATCCAGATTCCGCTGTCACGCTGGGAACTCGCGGATCACCCGAGCTCGCGGATACGTTCAAACGTACTGTCACGAGCGCATCATCGATCGTCGCGCAGCATCACTCCCCGATGTCGTCGTCGTCGTCGTCGTCGTCGTCGTCGTCGTCGTCGTCGTCGTTGTTGCCGCCGCCGCCGATATCTTCGTCGTCGTCAACGTCGTCGACCAGAAACGAAACCGCGAGGTAGTCCCGTGCGCCACGAGCCTCGCGGACGCTGCTGCCTTTCATCCCTCGTAGCTAACGCGGATCCACTGTCGATTTCTCTCTTCAAACTCTCTCTCTCTCTCTCTCTCTCTGTCTCTCTCCCCCTCCCTCATCCCTTCATCGCGAGCGCGCTCTTTCTCCCTCGTGGTCCCTCCGGAAATCAGTCCTCTCGCTCTTACCTACAGAAGCGCGGCTCGTTATCTCTTTCACTCCGAGCACTCTGTGTCACCACCCCCTCGCCTCTTGCCTCGCTCACGCAAATTCTCCATCACTCTTTCTTTCTGACTCTCTCGCTCTCGTTCAGATATATTATTTATCTCTCTTAATCTTACACTCGTGTATCTTCCATTACTCTCACTCTCGCGGAATCCCTCCCATTCGCGTTTTCGTAAGCGCCTATTTCTCTCGCTCTCATAGATCTTTTCATCCTCCCCCCACCATTTACCTCTCGTGGATTCTCCGTCTCTCGTTCTCGCTTTCACAATTCTCCATCCTTCTCGCAGTTCCTCCGTCCTTCTCGCTTGCATCCCCCTTTTTCACGTGCGATTATCCCGTTCCACCCACGTACATCAGTATATGTTGCCACTCGCTTCCTCGCACTCATAATTTCTCTCTCTCTCCTCCCCCCCTTCTCTCTCTCGCTCTCTCTTTTTCCCTTCTCCCTCCTCTCTCATCTTGTGTCGTCTCGCTCTCTCGGGTCGCCTTGATTCTTCTCTCTTCCGCTCCTCCGAGTCTCTCCGTCTTTCGTCGCCACCCCCGATCAACCCCCGCGAGTTGCCGCACGGCGCAGGGCGCATGCACGGTATACTCCATCTCGACCGACCTAGTGACACACAGCCAGTGATCGGATTTTCAGAGTGGGCCGATCGAACAGCAGCATCACCCACACGTTGTCGCCCCCGCTCCGGTATCCTTAAGACGCGAGAGAGGGTGTCATTAACCTTCGAGTGGTAACACGAGCCGAACTAGAAGCGATCGATGCTTATTTCGCGATGCGCAGCAAAAACCGATCAGCTATTCTTAATCGCGATGTGACGGAGCTCTCTCCGTGCCGAATAAAAATAACAGAACTCATCAAGAGAGAGAGAGAGAGAGAGAGAGGGGAGAGGAAAGAAGGAGGAATTTCCGATTTTGATAAGTCTTTCTCTAGTCGCGGATGAGAATGATCCAATAATCGAGGGATACGCGTGCAACTTCTTGCCGCTTTAACGAAAATCTCATCTCCCAAATGCAGTTCTGTTAAAAATAAGAGGCCGGAAGACGGCCAGCGCGGAGATAAGATCAAAATTAATGGGCGCTCAGCTAAGCATTAATGAAGATTCACTTCCACGTCATATCACACACATTACCGCGACAAAGTTAAGATAAGTGGGCTGTCGGAATTTGGAACATTTCGCAAGGGTATATAAGGGTGATTTGTGAGCGCTGTATGAAAACGTTGAGGGTTGCTTCCTTATTAGAATCTCAGATGGGAGAATTCTGGCGAAAGATGCAGATTATCGTCATCTGTCGTAAAATTTAATTGCGGTACCCTAAATATCGCAGTAACTGAGTTTGAAGTGAGAATTCCGTTGGAAAATTCGAGTCACGATTAAATGAGAAATAAAATTGCATCTGTTTCTATATTCGCAGAAATCACTGATCTCGCAGAGTTTATCGATACCTTGAGAAAGCTTCCGCAAAATCCTCGTCCTAGATTTAGACGAGAAATCTGCATTTTAGCGTTCCACATACTCGCGCTAGTTGCGAATCACTTACACGTATCACGCTATCACGCATGCGATAGCGTGTAAGTGTAATGGCGGTTAGATTTACTATCGATAAGCAGCCTGCTCCGTCGGCAGGATGGGTTCACTTACCTTCGAGGAGCGATAAGAGTTTTCCCGTTGGCAAAATCGACACTAGTCGGAAATCATTTCCACACCCGGAGTCCTGGAGGAGAGACCGCGTTTTGATCAGCTTCGCGATGTCCGCGAGGAAATGCGAACGAGAAATCTCAAGACGCGGCCTCGATAACTTTCCAGATCGAGGAGCGCGCTTTTCCTGCGAAACTCCATGCCTGCGGAACTTTCAAGAGAACATATCTTATCGCAGCGAAAGCACATTATTGAAAATTAATAGGATCACACTTCATTAAGAACTCTAACGAATTGTGATCAATGTGATCGAAGCTCTTCAGCATCTTAGCCAATAAGTAAATTGGTTTAAGACATATCTATTTTTTTTCCTTTCAACTGGAGACTGTGCAGTCTTATTAGGTTGATCTGGCTTCCCACAGAATGTCAAAAACAAATTTATAAAGTACGATAATTTAAATTCAGACCAAGTGTTTCAGCACATCGTGAAAGACTGAAATATTAGATTAAATTAATTAATTTTTAATAGTGTCAGATTTTCGAAGACTACTCGCCTCGTGCGGCGCAACATATCGTGAACTCACCTTCGTATAAATTTTGCACTTAAATGAATGTGAACGAAACTATCTCTCCTAAATCAAGTACAGTCTGGCCGAAACATCGCGGTATCAGTACGGCAGGAAACTTGCTAATTAACGTGTTTAAATTTTCTAGCTAGTCAGAGTTTAATGTGATTTGATGAGAGAAAGAGAGAGAGAGAGAGAGAGAGAGAGAGAGAGAGAGTGGGAGAGTGAAGTGACGTGCGAAATCTCGTTGATTGCAAGTGTAGGTCCGAATCATCTCAGCCTCGTGAGACGTAGTTATTTAGTTTCCGTCTGACAGGATAAACGCTTCAACAAAGTTCTATTGACTAGTAATATTATCAGAGTCTGCGAGTACGCGCGCTTAAGATATACTTTGACACTTTTTTTATTTAATACATCCAAATTTGAACGTCTCTAGATTCTGTCTTTCCGATTAATCTCTTACATTTAATCCCACGAAAACGCGACATTCTGTGTAAACTTGATTTTAAATATGGCGGAACGCGTTATCAAATCCGTGGCAAATAATCAAAACTCGATTTATGATTTAATATAGCGAATTTGTACACATGATCTCACGAGTATACATGTCAAGGGGATGTTACGAGATCGACTCCAGCATGCCTTAAAATGCTTAAGCCCGAACATGATCGGCGGTGATTTCGGGGCTTGCGCGCCGCGACGCTCTGAGCCGCGTCTTAGGGGGTTCGCGGCAGGAAGATCCACGCGGCCGCCGCAATGGCTCGTCGCCACTCGTGGCGAGTGTCAAACTCAACGGCGCCAACAACGAGTTACGTGCGTGCCATTGAAATTTCGCCAGGGTGGATCGAAGCCAAGAAGATGGTGACACCGCGAAAACTGTCGCTGTGAGTAAAAAAATCATCGACGCGTTGTCACTCTGCGATTATCGCATCACGCGTTTGTATTCGAGCATGCGACGCATTGTGCCACGTGAAAATTTATTTTTGCGAAAACTTTGGCCTTGTATTTTTTAATTTTCATCATTTGACTTACGACATGTCAAGTGCCGTCGAGTTACGCGAAGCATTCTCTCATATACACATCCTCCCAATTACATCGTCATTAAATTGCAATTACGATCTTATATTTTTAAATCAAGTTTAGTAGACAAGTGCTCCCTTTTAATCCGATTCATTCTCGTTTGGGACCTTTTGATTGGGTCGAGCAACCCACGAAAGAAATTGTTCTCCGATTGTTATTCGAGGTGCTATTGGTTTATTTAATGTCGTTATTCTTTTATATGCCGCATCTGCAAACGCTTCGCATGCGTTTGGAAATAATGAAAATTTCAATCGCTGTGTATATCAAAGCCGCCGTCACTTCTTATAAGATTCAAAGATACATCTTGTTTATAAATGCGGATCACGAGTCACGAGAGAGAAAAAGAGAGAGAGAGTAAAAAAAAGCTCTTGAATGTTTCAATATTCAAGATTCAATGTTTTATAGATATTCAAACGGTTCTCACGGGAGAATCTGTAATTAACCATGTGAACTTAATTGAGCGTATCTTGAGTAATTGTTCAAGCAAAATTGAATACTTCGAAAACGTCGAACTTATACATCCTTCCAGGTGAAACATTTAAATCGTGCATCTCGGTAGAATAATCCTGATATTGTGTGATAATCGATGTCGTCGATTGTGTCGCAATTATATGTCGCATGATAATCGATCAGTTCTAGAAAAATGTCAAAACGACCATTGTCGTTCGCTAAAACGAAATGAAACAACGATATTATTTGTCGTAAACAATCGCAACAATAAAATGCTTAGTCGGGAATGCAAAACAGGAAATTGAAGCTTATTCCTAGACGAATTTTGGGAACGATAACCATGCATTGGTGAGATGGTTTCGCGGGATCGACCACCCGCAACTTCCTCATATGTAACGTCGTGGTATGCAAACTGCACGCTGCCGCCTACACTCGAAATGCGTTGCTTCATTTTAATATATATTCTCCGTATAATAACATCTATTGTTACGAAAATTCCGTTAATATTTGCAAAATTATTTCACGGAACTGCAAACGACTCCAAGCATCGTATTCGCCATTCTCGCACTCTCTGACCCGGAAACGCGGTGTAACGCGTGATTTTCGCGGCTGGAAAACGACAATATTCCAATTATAATTGTTATGCTCGCGTTGCCGTGCGGTGAGTCGAAAACCCCGTGATAAAAGCAGCCCGAACGCGAATGCATTCGCGTCAAGGATCCCCGGATGTAAAGAGGAGAAAGACATACCCGTCCTTCGATTTCGCGCTTCAAGCGCGCCTCGACTTTCATACCGCGGTGCATTCTCACTGTGCATTCCTGCCAATGAAAAATAAGGGAAGGCATTTATTAATTAAAGATATTTAAGCAGCACGCGGTCACACTTAGAAGAGCGTCCGTCAGTTTGCGCTCCGGATTCTTCGAATACCCAGTTGAAATAGGCTTGGACTAATAAGAGGGAATTAAAATCAACGAATTGATAAGTTTAAAATCGATAAGCGCGTAAGACGCGAAGTAGTCGCGCTGACAAACGGGAGAGTGGGCGATGTATTCGTGCGGGAGTCGATTGTGCGAAATTTTTGTGTCAGATAAATTTGCCGGAAGAATGATAAAAACGATACGACGCGAGCATGATAAAAAACCACAATTAAATCATTTTCCAGCGGATAATGAGCTAAAAAAGAAGTTGCGACGTATGAATTGCGTTTCATTTATTTGTCTTTTTTTTCTCTTGACCTGGACTGGTGAAATTTGACGGACGTGTTTGCTGACAAGTCGCAAACGAAATGCCCACTCAAGAAGCGCGGCTCAAAAATCGCTTGCAAAATGCGCATATACGATCGCAGAGACCGCGATGCGACGTTCTCTCGAAACAGTGACGTGAACCCTCTTGGACCATCGCACGGTCTGATGATGCTGAATCGGCGAACGACAAGAGGCACTCTCCTCCACTTTTCCTTTTTCCCCTGCCCGCCTGCCGCATGGCCGTTTTCCTCTCACTTTGTGTCTTAAACCTAACTACGGACCACGGTGCTCGTCGTTTAACCCTTACCGCGAGTCTATTACATCACCGCGGTAGAAATTAAATCACAGCGCAACTGTGGCTAACGAGAAAGAGAGAGAATGAAGATTCGCTGCCGCAGTGGGTCCGTTTTGCGAACAGGTACGGCATTCTCAGCGTGTTCTGCTTGCGGCGTCTCGTTGTATCGCGAGCGGAAGTTGTTTGGAATTTTTCGCTTGGAAATTGCGCGCGTGAAAGTATGACTTTTAATCGTCCCCGAAGTCGTTCACGTCGCGCTCCGCGGCGAAGGTGTAACTCGTGGAAAATTTCAGGGCTCGGCGAGAGTAACGGGTGAGCTGCTTGCATTCACAATTAGCCGGCGAATGTCTTCTCGCGTGTGTCGCGAGCTGCGGTTTATCGGTAGCAGATAATCTGGCCTCTGCGCGAACAAAGTTCTGGCACGTGGAGGATGCTATTTCGCGGTGACTATGTCGGAAGGGCGACAGGGAATGTGGGCGCGAGAGCGCTGAGAGACTGCAGCGTGCTCCAGATAACTCCTTGTAATATCTTTGTAACGTTAACGTCGTCACATCGTGTCGTTGCGCCGTTCGCGATGAAGGACGAGGCCAGATACCGCGTGCATTTTTCCACGTAAGTTTTCCCGCTCGAATGCCGTCCGTAAAAATTTGCCAACGCGCGCTTGAAAAGACATCACTCGATGAATGTGCGACACGTAGACCGAGTCTTAACGCAAAAGACGACTTAAAAATAATTATAAGATACTGTGCTAATTTTTGAGATCGCTAAAAATTCGGAGATGCCTGGTCGCGTAATTTCCTGATATTTCGGGTAAAATAAAACGATTATATCTTTATGTCATCGTAATTTTATGAAATGGTATGTGTGAAGCACGTGATGGAGAATTATCGATCAGAACAGTACATACATTCATAAAATTATAACGACATAAAAGTATAATCGTTTCATTTTACTGGAAAAATCCCAAATTACTTATTACACCATCCAATATATGTGTAACATACATCATTAAAGTAGTCGTTAAGGTAGTGTTAAAAAAAGAAAGAGAACGCGATCGAGATATTAATTTAAAGTAAAATATAAAATTTACCATACGTACAGAATATATATATCGTGTATTATCAATGAATTATTTATTAAGGATTTCTTTTTTCCGTCAGGACAGAGGTATGGCAAAAATTTGAAACTCGAAGACTATTGGCGGTATTAAGCGGTTCTCTTTGGGCTTAAAATGTGAGCACTCGGTGCGGCTTAAAATCCATTCCCTTCGAAAGGACAGAGCGTCAACTTTCGTGTCGAATCGAGCGGCTACGACGACCAATCCCATTCACACATCCATAAAGTGCACTCACGTTCTCTGCATACTTAATGAATTCCAATTATCGACGTTCGGCATTCATTCATAATGCGTCAAACGTAATTTAACGGGCGGCGACTCCCGCTCGGGAAATATTGTGCGCTGTTTGCCTTTTTTAACGTTCGCTCTCCATCCGCGCGTTTCAATAGCTGTCCTCCGATTCGCTGACGTTAATCACTTTCCGCAGCTCGCGTCTTGCAATTCGTATACGAACGTTCACCCCGAATTTATTGGCAAATCTCCGCGCAGTCAACAATTGCATCAGCAATTCGACCGAATCAGGAGAACGCATGTTATTCCACCGCCGGCTGAGAGCGCAATTTATTTTGACGAATTTTCAATTTATGTCTTCACCACCGAGTTTCGTAATTAGATTATCGCGGTATTCGGTAATGCGAAAATGCGAAGGTTCGCACTTTCCGCTAGAACAAACAGTTGTCCTTGATGCAAAGTTAAATTGAATTTTCGGTGAAGACGCACGGCTTCAAGATTTCGCAAGAAATTCACCATTAATTGTGCGGGAGAACGGGTGACTTCTGGCACATACACGCTCCTTCTCCATATCTTTCTCGGGTACACGATCGTCAAACGCGGTCTGTTTGTCTTGCACGATGCGCTTCTAATTCTGTGTAAACAGAGTATTACAGATCTCGTCGCGTCAGCGGAGTAATGAATACATTAATATTGCACACAGCTTCGTCGTTCTCGTGCCGCTCACCATGTGCAAGTACCGTTACCACGCGCTAGAAATCAGAGCGACGACAGACTTTGCGCCGTCCAAATCGCCGTTAGCGTCCACGTTGACGATCGGCAGAATGCCCAGGGCTACCGTGAACGACATTGTCTCGAGAAACATCACCATGGTCCTCGAGAATCTGCTGATGAATTACGAAAACAGCCAACTACCCACGCACGGTAAAGGTAAGGAAATGAGGGACGCGGGGAGGAACATGACAGGTGCATCCGAGTGTGCGCGGAAATTTGGTCCCATATCCGTGCATCTCTAATATTGATATTAAAATTATATTATAACTGCGACAAGCTATATGCTCTCTCCATTGCGGTCGTTCTAGTATTGAAATGATTTCACCGCCCGCCACGTCCCGTACTTACGCTAATCGCAATGTCATACGGCGGAAAATAATAACGGCGGATAATTGGATTCCGAAGAGTTGAGGAAGATCGCTCACACACACGGTATGGTCTAACCGCATTAATCCGCGATCGATGGTTAAGAACGCGAGCGAAATTCTGCCTCAGAGAGCGGATCTCCTATTGAGGGAAAATCGTATTATAAAAACATCATACATATTTTGAAATTCATTCCAATTAATTATCCAAACGCATACAGATCTGATCGGCGTAACATCGTCCCCGGTATATAACTCTCCCCATTTTAACAAAGCTATATATTCTAAAGTTTCCAAAACGCTCTGATATTGACGTTTCATGAATCTCTCCCGCAGTTACGTGTCGAAGTTCTGATATTTGTCATTTTTTTTCCAGGCGTACCCACGGTGGTGAAAACCAATATTTTAATTAGAAGTATGGGCCCGGTATCTGAGCTCGATATGGTGAGATTCGATCATTCTTAATAGCGCGTACCGATAGATCCACCTTTCATAATTTGCATGGTTACAAAATAGTGCAGAGTATTTCAGAATTATAGATGAAGATTTAACCGGCTAATAGAACTCATGAACGCAAATAGAAGATCTTAACAAATGTAAAATCGCGCAAACTGTTAGGCGATCCTTATTTTGTCGATGAATGTTCATCAGAAATGAAAACAGCTTTTATCGGGAGCGCGAAACGTTCGATTTTCCAACGAATTTTCTTTCAAGTCGCTACAACCGAAAAAGTCAACGATCGTACAAAACCGCGTTCTCGGATCTCTACCGTTGAAGCACGAATCAACGGTATCTATTGAGTTACGCAACGCGAGGGTGGTTCGCGCGTTCCAGTTGCGTTCCACACGCGTAAACGCATTTACGCAACGCGGCTGGAACGCGGCCTTGTCGTCACTGCCGCTCTCAATGTCGACTGGCCGTTGTTTTCTAAAGCGTCCTGTATAAATGCGATTTTGCGTGATTGTCCCGCGAATTTGATTCCGTCTGAAAATCCCTCCGTTCCAGGATTACTCGATGGACTGTTACTTCCGACAATCGTGGCGCGACTCGCGCTTGAGCTTCCTGGGCCCGATCAAGTCGCTCAGTCTCAGCATCAAAATGCTCGAGAGGATCTGGCGTCCCGATACTTACTTCTACAACGGCAAGCACAGTTACGTGCACACGATCACCGTGCCGAACAAATTGTTAAGGATCTCTCAGGACGGCGATATACTGTATTCCATGAGGTTCGTTCGCGCGTGAATTCACGCACTATGTAACAGATCGAATCTCTCTCGGGATTTCGCCGATGCTAGATACGATTCCCTCACGTCACACTCGCGGATCGGACGATTATGTTCCGATTTCTTTTTATCCTTTTTCTAGAATATCGCGAGAAAAATTTGTTATCTTTCACTCTTTGCTATAATCACGATATACTTCATTCTTTCTCTTCTCCTTTCTCCCTTTTAACATTGTTTTTATTTACTTATTTATTTATTTTACAACGAAGACTCACCATCAAGGCCAAGTGTCCCATGGAACTGAGGAACTTCCCCATGGATCGACAATCTTGCCCGTTGATAATGGGGAGCTGTAAGTATCGAACTGTTCAACGAAAAGCTGACAAACGTAGCGCGTTTTGCATCTCGAGCAATCGAGATTCGTACTACAAAAGAGTCAGTATTCAATAAGTAAAGAGAGAGTCCCGAGATTTATAACTCGTTCTAAAGTCTTTAGAACCAAAATCAATTACTTTAATTATCACTTACCTAACCTTAACCTTTTGGTCGCGAAATAATGATCTGATTAGATCAAATCCTAAGTTAAATTATACATAAATCGAAGTCAAAAAATTGAAAATTAAGATAAAAAATCAACAGTAACGAATCACTAGTATTCACAATAGACAATAAGTCGCAGCTTTGTTATTTCGCGCGTTCTCGATGAAAAATCTTTTATATATTTTTCTTCTGTGATGCGTCGATCGAAAGCCAATGAGACGCAATCGTAATGAACAATCGGGAACAAATAACACTTTATCCGCGTGCAACCCTCGCACGTCGCTCGATGCGGCTCCCAAAGCGCATAGTCCACCACCTTCGATGACATTATGCTCGCGTGCGCTCGCGTTACGACCTCACGATCGCAATAAATTTGATATTCCGCGGCGCGTTCCGTTTCTCCAGTTTTACGTGCCAGATCCGTCGTGCCCACTGTGTCACGACAGCTGGCAGCCGAAGCCTACGATGCAACGTAATATCGGAATTTATTATCATAAGCAGCTGGACCACCCTCGAATAGAGCCGATTTGCACCAGACGTTATCGAAACTCGGGGTCGAGAGATGTTCGAGTCAAATGCAATCTCGATATTATCGGACGGATGTATCTAAAAAAGATTTTTTGTAATCGATCCATCTACAGTCGTGAAATTAAAGGCGCAGATTAGAACAGTTAATCCATTCGTTTATCAAACACGAAACGCTTTTATCTATGATGTTTACGTCGCAATGATATAGTTGTTTATTTATTAACAGGTTTATTAGCTTTAAGAAAAAAAGATGCAAATAAAACAAAATAGAATTTGTTTGCTTTATCTGTTTGTTTGTATGTATTAATTATGATTAATTACAATAATTTGTGTGTTGTTCTTTTAGATGCGTACACATCGGGACAATTGGTTTATGAATGGCAAGAAGGCTCGTCAGTAAACTTCGTGTCCGGGATGGCGTTGTCGCAGTTTGACTTGATGGGCTCGCCGTACAGAAATCTCACCTTCGTGCGCCGCGAAGGCGAGTTCTCGGTGCTGCAGGTGTCATTTAATCTGCAACGGCACACCGGCTACTTCCTCATACAAGTAAGCGCACAGATCACAGTTGATGTCGCACGTGACGAACGATCAATGACTACAAAGAGACTGTTTTCTTTTTCACATCGACAGGTTTACGTGCCGTGTGTCCTCATAGTAGTGCTGAGTTGGGTATCCTTTTGGATTCATCGTGAGGCGACGAGCGACCGTGTGGGTCTGGGTGAGTGCTCCTCGGCAAATCAATTAACTTGTTCTTCTGGCGGATTTTACATCGCTGGAGTTTCCATCGCGGTTCGTTCGACCTCTCTCTCCCTTTTTTCTCTCCCTCTCTTTCTCTCGTTCGCTCGCTCGTTCGGGAATGATTTGGGGCGTAAGTTAAGAGTGGTAGAAGGAGAGAAAAAACGTGAGTCAAAACGAGGTAACGCGTCTCATGATCCCGCATATTCGTAAATCCCGCAGGTATCACCACCGTCTTGACGCTTTCGACGATAAGCCTCGATTCCAGAACGGATTTGCCGAAAGTCAGATACGCCACCGCCCTGGATTGGTTCCTCCTCATGAGCTTCGGCTACTGTATCGCCACCCTACTGGAGTTCGCCGGTGTCCACTATTTCACGAAGGTGACAATCTTCACGTAATCGCGATATTTCATCTTTCTGTGACCGTTCCCCTCTAGTGAGGGAGATCTCGAAGAAGGCGTGTGAATCTTATTTACATATATTTGCTTCGGGGAATATAGCTCGCACACTCTGTAACTTAAAAGATGACGCGGCGATTTCTCGTGTCGTTTTTACGACAGATAGATACTCTGCGTGATCTTCCGTTGGGTTAATACATACTTGGTCGAAAACGTTGGGAAACTCAGAGAACGCTAATCCAACTGAAGTTCACTCTCCCTCAACTTAATCTTCGTGAAATTGCAGGTCGGCAGCGGCGAGATTCCGTTGGAAGACGAGGAGTGGGAAGAATGGGAAGGTATCGGCAGTGAAGAATTTGAGGATACGTTACGCACGATGATCTCTTGTAGTCCACAGGCCGTCCACCCGGAGATCTTAGACACGAGCGCTAGAAGACGCGGCTCTCTCATGTGCGCGATGTACAGCGTTAGTTCGATATGTTATCGATATCATTGCATTAATAACGATTCAGATATGCCGTGCTACAGATAGTTCAAGATATAGTTCAAGATATTTCTTGAACTCTGAAGTCTTAAAAAAAAATCAAAACGTCTCCTTGAGACGTCCATCGCTGAATTCTTGCAGTTTCTTTTTTATTTGATTAAATCTTGCATGAAACTATCGCGTTTGTAACAAAAAAGGTAAAAACGTACATACGTAAATTATTAAGTATTAATTGCACTTAAATAATCTTTCGATCTTGGCAGGATGGAGTCACATATGAACGTGATTCCTGCCGCTCCATAACGGTCGCTGTTTCTTCAAAACCGTCGACGATGGAACGGCAAACGCAGACCGAGCTTATTTTGCCGTTGTGGAGACAATTTCTATATTGCTTAGCGGGTGATGATGCGTTCAGGTATATTTAATACTTTATTAATATTTAAGTAAATTTCTCACACACACACACACACAACACAAACAACACACACGCAACACACAAGAACTCATCCGGCTCACGTGATATTCGTAACAATGTCTTTTAATCTAAAGTCGTAATTATTAATACCTTGAATTTATTATTTATTCTTTTTTTTACTCTCATTATTTTTATCATTTAGAAAAAAGTCTGTCTTAATTACTTTTAATTAATTAATTTATTATTATTATTACTAAGAAGTAATAATAATAATAAATTTAATGTAATGATTTCTGTTATTTCTATCATTTGTATGCGTTATCAGTGTATCAAATAAAACTATTACAAATATTTAAAATTGCAGACGACGTCGACAACGCGAAGCAGCTAGTAGTTATCGAAAATATGGCGATCGCCTGTCAAGACACATAAACAGTGTATCTTACATCGATAGGGTAGCACGCATAGTTTTCCCTGCGTCTTTCGGCCTCCTCAACGTCTGCTACTGGGTGATCTATGTCACATACCAAGAAGAATTTAAGTGGCAGGACCCGCCGTTCGGATCAATTTCTCATTAACAAATTTTCCATTGTGATAATAAAGTGGATTATGTAATATGAATAACAGGAGAAATTAAGAAGCACATCGGTGTATTAATTGTTTATTTCAAATCGATTTATGTAAAATTTTGTTCGGAATTGATTCTTTTTATTTATTTATCTTTTTTTTACTGCGACAGCATACATTAGTCAGTTCTGTTCTGAAATTTTTTTCTTTTGCGCGGTGGCACCCGTTAAGTTATTAAAAATAAAAGTATAAATAAGAAAGAAATTTAAGTTCTTTCTTATTTCTGCGAAATCAAATTCTTTTATGGCAGCAAATCAAAGTGTCAACGAGTTCGATTAGTTTAAGTTTCTAAGTTTAAATCTATACATCTGGGTTTCCCATTATAAGAATCGTGATTAAAATACTAATAAATAAAATTTTGTTTTCCATCTTTACGTTGTATTATTCACCACTGAATACTACTCGAAAATAAAAGCTACGTTGTAATTTTAACATTTATTAATTAAAGGATTGATTTTCTTGAAAACAAAAAATATATAAAATGCAATAAGCTGTAACTTCCGCAAAAATAATGATAAAGAAATGGCTCTAAAACATTTTACAGTGTAAAGAGAAAGAGAGAGAGAGAGAGTCTCTAGTTTTCATATATACAGGGTGTTCGGAAAGTACCGGGACGGCCGAATATCAGGAAA